TTTTTTGAGACAGGGTCTCATTATGTAGTTGAATCTGACCTGGAACTGACTGTGTAGCTCAGGCTGGTAGTGAACTCACAGCAATCCTCTTGCCTCAGCCTCCCGAGTGCTGGGATTACAGGCATGTGCCACCATGCCTGACTGATGCATAAAATATTTGAATTAAGTCACATTAGAAGTAATTTTGCTCAACTCTTGGGCTTCGTGTTGTGATCATCATTATAAATGTTTATGTGACTAATTGACTAAGTGAGAAAAAGTTTTTTGACAGTAAGAATAAAATGTGGTCACATTTCAAGTGAAATTTAGGATACAACTTTTATATAAACAAAGAGTTTGTGATCAGATAGAGGCAGTGTCAAAGCCTCCAGTCTGCAAATAGTATTATTTATTAATACATCTCTCTGAGTTAAACAGTAGCTAAAATATCCTAGCTGTCGTGTTTAATGATTAGTTTACATAACCTCGCAGCACTGACTTGAAAGCTGAGCTCATTTATTTTTCATATACACCGTAAGCAGCAGCACCTAGGGTTCAGGAGAGACCTCTCCCTTGGGGAGTTAATCTGAAGCTTGGTAGGTAAGTAAATGCTGCTAAAACCGGGCTGTTTCTTAATTTTACACCATCCTCAGTTGCTGGCAGCCAATGGAGTTTAAAAAAAAAAAAAAAAACCTATAAGTACAATCAATGTTGGTGGTAAGGTGTGGAGAATCTTATAGTTTAAACTTGATAATTCACTTCTAATTTTTATCAAAGTAGAGTAGAAGGTCTGGGACAGACCTGGGTCTGAATCCAATTCCACTGGTCACAAGTTGTATGCTGCTTGGCAAGTGTCTTAAGCTGTCTGAGCCGTTTTCTAGTTTGTAAAGGAGAGTTAATACGGTCTCCCGTGAACTGGTAAATGTTTAACAGTTAGCTCTCAGGGTTAGCAAAAAGCCGTGATTTGTAGGGCTTGCTGGCTTCTGCGGTGTAATTATCCCCACACTGGCCTGCTTTAGGCAACCGGCAGGGTGTCTCTGAGTGCAGAGCCAGGCGTGATCACTGGCCTTCGTTGTTCCCACCCTCCAGATGCCGGGGCCCTCAGTGGCCCCAGTAGTCAGATAATAGTAAAATATGGTGACTAAATCATTAGAAAGCAGTGTGTTTTGTATACTTATTACCTTTGTTTTTAATATATATTATTTAATTATAAGTTGGTATAATTTGATTTTAAGTAATGCAGAATACAGAATCCAGCTTACCAAATCCCTGAGAATGTCGCAGTTTGCCCTCGTGAGCTGTGTGTCCTGGTTCCAGCGCCCTGCTGCCCATCTTCAGCTCTTAGATTTCCCAAACACTGCAGTGAGGAAATTTCTCCATGACCCACACCCACATCATAGGATGTGAGACTGGCATGTGACCAAGTCCCATCTGACTCTACTCTATGATGCGGGGCCAGCTGACCCTCCCACAGCAGTACCGGAGCTCCCCACATCTCTCCTGACTAGGGCTGCTGCTCAGGGACAGGAAACACGTGATGGATCTGTCACACATGCAGCATTTAAAGTAGCAGATGAGCATCCAACTTGGAGCATGCAGTTATCAGCATAGTGCAAAGTGATAAAAAGTAAAAGCAGAGTCGGATTTCTAGCACAATACCATTTATTTGTATTCATACAATGGGACATACCATTTTTTCAAGGGTACTCAAAGAGATGCAGATTAGAAGTGTTTGAGTCCTCAGAATATCCACAGAGAGCAGGACTTTGTTGTGTCAGCGAGACCCTTGCAAGCTTGGATTCCTATTGCCTCTAGTAAACCTGTGCAAGGTGACTCATTTATGTAATTTATTTTCCAAATTTAATACGCAGAACATAGATTTACTGTATTTCCCTAAGAAAGCGGCATTTCCAGAGTACTACATAGAGCAGTCATCAAAGCTTAAAACCATTATAGCTAAGTTTTCTGTACATTGACAGTGATATTCTGCCTTATGTCATTATCCCACTTAATGTTTAGACAAAGATTGGAAGTTTGGAGGACCCAAGTGTTTTAGCCAAGATGAGAGACTTGGCAAGGACAGAGCAGCACTGCCTAGCAAACCGCAGCATTACCTGGTCCTCTGCCAGGGGAAACAAAGACTGGCATGAACCTTGCTGGGTAACTGTGAGGCCTTGGACTCTGCATCTTCACTACTCTCTTGTGCATTCTTTGTCCCCAGACAGAAAGCAGAAACTCCAACAACGATTAACCTCAGAGTGTGAATTACACTGAAGTGATGCTGTAAGGATCATGAAGATTTTTAAGAAACTCTGTGCTGTTATTATTTGCATGACAAGAATAAAGTTCACAACTCACATTTTCCAATTTACCCAAAGTCACTCAAGAAATTCGCCAAATGCCCAAGATGGGAAGCCCAATTTCTTAATTCTTAGGCCAGATGTAATTTAACTGAAGCAAAGAGATTTTTGGAGAATCCTAGAAATTCTAGGCAGAGCTAACAGCTAGCTGTACAGCTCAGACAAGCTGCTGGACATCCCCAAGCACCCGTTTCTTCAGTCATACAGCTGGGTTATACGAGCTGGTTTATATCTTTGCTACAAAGATCATTCACTGATGCATTTATGTACCCATTCAACAAATATTTGTGGAGGCAACTTCTGAGTGCCAGCCCCTTGTCTAGGCACAAGGACATAATGAGTCTATTAGAATCCCTTCACTTGAACTTGTATTCTAGCAAATGAGGTTCAAGTACCTGCATAAATATATGAATAAATCAATTAGTGAGTGCTGAAAAAATTAGGACAAGGAAACAGAGAGTTATGGGGAAGGATGTGTTTTGGGGAGGGAAGTCAAATGTGCATTTTTAAGGATGTGAGATCTGAGCCTACACTGCCAGCACCTGGTGGAAGAACATCATGTAGGGAGAGGGGAGCAGCAAAAAAAAAAAATCTTCCAGGTGGGAATGAACTCGACCTGTTCCAAGAAGAGCCTCACAGGGGACAGTGTGAGAGATGCGTAACGGTGAGATAGAAGTGAAAGTAGAGAAGAAATCAGCGAGACAAGGCCAGTGGCTCACGGTAAACAGAAAGTGTTGGAAATCAGCAGATCTGATTTCCATTCTTAAGACATTTCTCTGATTAGATTGAGAGAGGCCCAAAGCAAAAACGACCTGGGTCATACAGAAAGAAGCTGGTGGCTTAGATGGGTAGGTGATGGCAGAAGGGGAGAGGCAGCTGCACTGGGGATATTCATCGACCTGAGCAAAAATCCTACATGTTGTAAAATTTTTTTTTCTTTTCAGTTATAGGAATGGATTTAATTGTAGAATTTCCTTAGACTCTGTCATCTGTTTCTTAATTTTTCTCTGAAAGGGAATAATCACATTCTGTGGTCATACACCAAACCACAGGTTCTTCTGTACCACCATCTCTGCCCCACCAAAGAGTTCACCTACTAGGAAATATTAAGAGTGGATTAGCAAGTTACTAACTTCTGTATAGAAGTTTTATGCCTCAAATACTAGAATTCTTGGGGTTCAATTCCTTTCTGAAGTAGGAGAAGAGGACCCCTGGCATTTTTGTTAAGGTCACTCTCTATGACACATACAAAACTCCACTCACTGCTAGTAACAGGATCCTCAGTACCAGCCACACAGTGAAGTCCCTCTGTATAGTCTGCTTCCTAGAACTACCTCTCATATCTGTTACTTTAGATATGGGTCCTTGCAAACAGATTCTGAATCTAAGAGTTGATCTAGGTCTATGCGGGTGCATTCAGGAGAGACACCTTTACAGAAGCAAGTAAGACAGAAATGCTGGAGGGAGAAGCTGATCTGTGGCATGGCTGTAAATGAAGTCTCAGGTATCCAAAAGTTCCACATAGCATCCTTACTCCCACAGTGACTTTATGTACCTCCAGATCTACCAGATCCCACCTGTAGTATAGGTGCACATCTTACACAGCAACAACGCTGTTTGGGACAGAGCCATCCCTCTGCCTGGATCTCTCTCACTCATGGCAGGGTCTTAGGACACTACAGGGAGCTCTGAGCAGTGTCGGCCCTTCACTTGTCCCAAATTGAAGGAAGGAGGCCAGACATTCAGCATGGGCTACCCCTGAGGAAGGAGCATAGCCTCAGGGGGTGATGGTCCTTGTCACTAATAGTTCCCAGTGAGGCCCCAGGTCTGACACCAGCTAGCAAGGAGCTAGGGCATGTTATATAGGTTATGAAGAGGACCACAGGGTCCACCACATATGGGCATCTTCATTTAAATGGAGGAAGCAGGGCTGGGGATTTAGCTCAGTGGTGCTGTGGTCTGCCTCACAAGCACAAGGATCTGAGTTTGATCCCGGATGCCAGGAAAAAAAAAAAGTTTATTGGGGCTGGGGATTTAGTTCAGTGGTTCTGCCTCCTGCTTCATAAGCACAAGGACCAGAGTTTGATCCCTGGTACCAAAAAAAAAAAAACCAAAAAACAAAACAAAACAAAAAAAACAATAAATGGAGGAAGCACTGCCATGCTAGAGAGATAGATATGGCATTGGGACCTCCCTGTGTTTATGTCCCTGTTCCTAGATTTGCCAAGTAGCTGTGTCCAAGTTATTTCACATTCCTGAATCTTTGTTTCCTCATTTGGGAAATAGACATGTTCATAGGACCCCTTGCCCTACTGCCTGGATGTTATAGAGAAGTCTCCTCATGAATGTGACCTGGTTCCAAAGAAGTGTACACCAAGGACAGGGATTCTAGGGCAGAGCTCAGAGTCCACCAGGAGAAGGAGAGCACTTCTTACCTTTGTGTTTCTAGGAAAAGAGGACTAGAGGAAAGATATCCTCAAGGAAGGAGGAAATTTGGTGTAGAAGAGGAAGAGAGAAGAGATGGAAGCAATGAGGAAGAGGAGAGGGAAGTCAATATTTGTCAAAGACCTTCCACAAGCACATTGCTACATTTGGTGCTTGTTTCTAGGTTCCATTAGGAGGTTTTGTTGTAAGTGACGTTAAATCCAACTATCTTAAGCAAAAATGGTGCTCAAATTAGCGTAAGCCAAACAAACACATAAATATAAATGAGGAATGTATTAGCTCTGTAGCTGAAAGAGAGAGGACTGGCTTCAGGCATAACTAGACTCCAGGACTTACATGTCTCCAAGACCTGAGCTCTTCATTTCCATCTCTTAGCTCTGCCACACCCGCTGGCCTTCCATTCAGCCTGGACCTGTTCACCAAGATGGAAGCAGCACCTTACCTTTCTCCTGACTCAGTACTTGCGTCCTGGTAACTATCCTCTGACCTTTGGCCAGGGCCTACATGAGGTACAGGAACCAAGAATGGTACGTAGATTGTTCCTTGGGGCTGCACTTATGAAGGATGGCTGAAGGAGTGGACAATGGGCAGCAAAACCCACAGATGACCACATCAGAGCCCTGTGATCCATTTTAGAGTTGAGAGAACTGATGCTAGTGGGCAAGGCTGAGTGACTTGCTCATGACACAGACTCATTCCTTGGAGGGAATGGATGATTGACACATGGCTAGAATGTGCTCGTTCTAGAGTTTGACACTTCCTATGGCTCGAAGCCTGTGCTTATGTTCCCTTGTTTGACCTTGACCTGATCACCCGTCCCTTCTAAACTTTGTCCCCTGTGGATCTGGCATTCCACGCTTAACCTTCAGCAAACTTGTTACTGGATGAGAGCAAACTTCAGTAATGTCATTACTGTTGCTAAATACCTCATTCTCTTTCTTTCCAATATTTGCCGAAGTGAGAGTAAGACCAGTTCTGCTCAGAAATCATCTCACTGTGATCCCTTTGGCTTTATTTACAAACCAGAGCTCTACTTCTCATTCTACACTCAGGAAATAATGGATGCCTTGGCCCAAAGTATGCAGTTCATTTAGAAGTTCAAACCCTCTTCCACTTTTACCATGCTTCCCCCAGTTTCCACTGTTCTGTGCTCTATTACAAAACAAATGCTTCTTTCTACAGTATTGACCCCAGATATTCCATCAGTTCGCTTGTGGCCCTGAAAGCCAAGTATTTATTCAGGCTAGCTAGAAACAAAGCCTACTTTGACAGGCTGTAGCTGCAGACAGGCTGGCCAGATTGCCTCTTACAGGACTGGTTGTTTTTGATTTTTAAAAGTGGCAGCCGTATCATGGATGGCACATAATTTCACCACTCTGATAAATGATCTGTTGTCGTTTTAATCCACTCTTCAGGTTTTGTCTATCTTTTGTGACTGTCCTATATAGTTGTAGGAACATGTACTTGTAATTTTATTTTGTTGATTTTACATACATCAAAGATTTTTCTGGTTTTTTTTAACCCTGGACTTCACTGTTTTAACTGCTGCTTCATATTCAAAAGCACTTATTTGTTCATTAAATAAACCTTTATTTAATAATTACTGAACTATTCTTCTATGATTTATTCCCAAGTTTATTATTGTAAATAATAGAATAAGTATCTTTGTACATGTACCTCTCCTGACCTTCAAATTATTTTCTCAGGAGGAATTCCCAGAAGTGATATCATTAGGATGAATATTTTTATAGCTTTTAAAGCCAACCCTGTGACAGTGTACCAATGAACCTGTTTTCTCATGATCCTCTTCACTGATGAGATAAAATAAATTTACTTATTTATTTACCTATTTACTTAATTATGATAACTACTAAATCCCCTCAGTGAGCTGCCTTTTGTCTGTCTCTCCTTCCTAATTTCCTAGCTCCTGGCTTTCCACTCCTCCCATTTCCATCCAAACAAAATATAGTTTTTTTATGAGCCTGGTACCTTGTTCTGACATTAAATTCCTGCTACCTTGGTTCTGTACTGGAGCCAGATGCTGGATACACAGTCAAAGGACCATTGTCAACCATCATCTCCTTTGCTTAGTGCTGTAAACTGAATTATGTCTCCTGGCTCAATTCATATGGTAAATCCTAACCCCCAATGTGATGGTAACCATGGGAGGTAATTATGTTTAGAATAAGTCATGGTGAGATAATAGAAAAAGACACCAGAGAGCTTATGAACACTTGCTTGCTCTCCCTCTCTCTGTTTCTTTTTCTCTCTCTACCTCCCCATCTCTGTCTTTCTCTTTCTCTCTTCCCCATGTGAGCACACAGCAAGTATATAGCTGTCTACCATCCCAGAAGTAAGTTCTTATCAGACACCAGATCTGCCAGCACCTTGACCTGGGACTTCCCAGACTCCAGCAAACTTGTTACTAAGAAATCAGTGTCTATTGTTTTAGCCACCCAGACTATAATACTTTGTTATAGAAGCCCAAGGTGACTTATAAACTCAGGCTCCATCAATCTTACCATCTGCAGTATCAGTAGATAGATAATGCAATGCATATCTAAGTAGGTAATTTAGAATTTTTTCCTTTTCCACCCTCCTCATTTACTTTTCAAGACAGCCCTGTGAAGGTGCTCATTTTCTAGAACAATAAAGGTCAACAGGGACATGTGGAGACCTGTGAGTAGTCCAGAATGTTTCAAGGACAAGGAGTGCCATGTGAGGGAAGTTAGTGGACAAGTGATGGCTCTCAGAGGCCAGAGTTGAGGCCCTCCTGTGCCAGGCTCTGGAGTCTGGCCTTTGGCCAAGTGAAGTTTCAATTGGGAACGTTTCAGCAAAGAAACAACAGGGAGAGATCACCATACTAGGAACAGCTCTGACAGGTGGGCAGGAATTCCAGCAGGATATGAGCAAAATCAAGTGTGATAAAGGCCTGTAAGGATGCAGGCATAGGTATGAAGGATGACAAAGTTCAGGGGCCCTGAGGGATCACTGAACCCCCTTAATTTTGAAGAAACTGAGGAATAGAGTAAACAAAGTTGTCCAGGGATTCAAGCTAGTTCAGGAATCTACTTCACAAACAACTACTGAGTCTCCACTGTGCTTAGCAACGGGCATGGAGATGCATTGGTGTGCAGGAGACGTATTCTCAGTTGATAGATTATTAAGGGAGATGGATATTTTCAAAGTAAGTAATCACAACCACACTCCAGTGCTGCAGAGGAGAGGCTTACTGACATTCAGATTGTACTCATTGGTGCACCAAGGCTCAGGACCACAGCATCCCTGCCTCCACCACCTGCCTGGGCTGCCACAGCTGGCTCATTTCCCAGGCATGTGTGTTATTGTCTGATCACTGTTGACTCATTTGTCCATCAGAATAGAAACTCAAAAGGGGCAGGCCAACTATCTGTGGCCCTTGTGCATACAATCTGATGGGTTAATTGGTGTTATATGATAATAATATGAATAATAATACTTTCATTAAGTAGCTGAATAATGTAGTGATAAATATTTCTTCTACCAAAATACCACCATAACTAGCTTAAGTAATTACAATATTTTTGAATGAAAAACAAATTTCTCCTAACACACTACTTTCTGACTAGGATAAAAGCTGGAGTGTGTGTGTGTGTGTGTGTGTGTGTGTAACATTTTGTTGTCCTTCTTTTCAGTTGAATGCTTTAATCATTGTACCTGCTCCAGTCAAGATTCCTATGGAAGACTTAAAGCTATGCGACTACCCAAGATGACAATGCCTGGCACCTACTGAAGGCCTTTAGATGGACTCTCTGTAAGTCTGACTGCTGATCACAACTATTACCCTCTTCAGCTGGAAGTAGCCAGAGGGGTCTTTGCCTTTTGCCCCCTCACAGCAGTTAGGGGTACTTCTTCAGAGGGGGGAATACTGCTGATAGGTAAGTTAATTAGACATCTTGTAGGCAGTTAGACAGGGCCAGCCCAGGAGGAACCAACAGGGAGGACAATCAAGACACTTTCACTGAGGGCCAGAATTGTAAAAGGAGAGAAACTGCTGCACCGTTATGCTTCCCCTGGGGATGAATAGCAGCTATTGATATTCTAAATAGGTTTAAATCATCTGGGTGGGGCACCAAGGTCTTGACCCAGCTTTTCCAGGAAATATCCCTGACCCTCACCCTCACTGAAAATCCTTGTATGTTTGCTATGTAACTTGCTCCCCACTTTGACAACCATTTAATCAAAATTACCTGAGTGATGGTACTTATTGGTTGGCCATGGTTTTCTCCTACCTCATGCCCACCTCGGACCTTTCCACTAGGTCTTGTAGTTTTGTCCCACTTTGTACGCACCTCGCCACGTGCCTTTGCTGTAAAAACATCTTTGAGAAGTGGGATGGTCGGGCAACCCACTTTCTGGTCCCCCTTCTATCTCTCTTAGATAGAAGCTTTCTTCTTCTCAATAAAATTTTCCTACTCTTAAAAAAAAATTCCTATGGAGGAAACAAAAAGAAGGAAAGAAGAATTTTCTATGATCCTGCAAGGATTATACAAATAATTTTTCATTTGTGTTCTCTTTTTTAATTTTTTGAGAACATTATGGCTAGGTGCTTTGGTTCTGAGAAAAAGGCCACAGTCAAATAGGTATCAGAATGCAGAGCTGAGATATGGATTTAAGAGTCTATGATTTGCATTAATTGAGTGTCTCTGGTTTGCCTGGAATTGTGCAGTGAATGTAGCCTGCCTCTTCAGAAGAGACATGAGGCCAACACTAAATGAAAAGCTAAAGCAGTCAGAATTGAGGAAACGCTAATTCATAAAAGAGGCTACATGATATGTATAATATAGACCGTATATCCTTTTTTCCTATTTGTCTATTTTTTGACCCAGTATGACAGAGGACACTTTAGATCTTTTCCTTTTTCTGTGTGCAAGCTTCCCAAATTCTCTTTGTAAGACCTAAGGCCTTACTATTGTTAGAAAAGTTTTCAAGAAGCTCCAGTAGCCCAACCCCTAGCACAGTCAGCTAACTATGACAGGCCAGAAGGTCACGTTAAACATTTCTGAACAGGAACCAAGATAAACGTCTGGTACGGGAACAACCGGACCTAGCCCTAAACATTCCCGTAAATGATCCCCCACCGAAGTCCCCCTCCCCTTTCTCGGAATTCCCCCTCCCCTATAGCTTGTGGTTTTTTTCTTTCAAAACTGTGTATCTACCCTGCTTCGGGGCTCAACTCCTCTGCCCCTGCGAGGGTTATGAGCTGAGCCCCAGCGCACTGGAATAAAGACCTCTTGTATTTTGCATCAAGAATCGTCTCTCCGGGGTGTTTATGGTGCATCGTGGCGTCCCGGACTTAGACTGGTGGGATTCCTCCCTGGGAGGATCTTACATTTTGGGGGCTCGTCCGGGATTAGCGATTGCTCCTCACTCCTGAGAATGACCTTGGAGGTAAGAGGGGATCCCCGCTTTGAATGTTGTCTGTCTGTATTCTGTATAGTGCACTTTCGGTTTCGCAGTCGTCTGGCGGTCCGTAAGGACTGTGTGACAGTGGCCGGTAGACGTGCCTGGAGGGCCACAGGCTGCAACCTGGGAGACGTCCCAGGTACGGGGATTTTCGAAGACGTCTGAATCTCCCCTCGGGGTTCTGAATCTGAGATTAATTCGGTATCTGTGTGTATGTTATTTGTGGAATCTTGTCTTGTTTTTTAATTATGGGACAGACTGTGATGACACCTTTGGACTTGACCTTGAAGCATTGGACTGAAGTTAGGGCCAGAAGTAGAGACTTATCTGTACTAATAAAGAAAAGACCCTGGCAGACTTATTGTGCCTCTGAGTGGCCATCTTTAGGTGTAGGCTGGCCATCAGGGGGCACTTTTGATGCAGGAATAATATTGCTCGTTAAAGATATTGTTTTCCAGGCTGGACCCAGAAGACATCCTGACCAGCAACCCTACATTGTGGTCTGGCAAGACCTCGTCCTGATCCCCCCACCTTGGGTAAAACCTTGGGTACATTGGCCTACGAATTGGCCTGTCACTCAAGTTTTCTCTCTAAAGGAGGCCCCATCAGACAAAGATGAAAGGGCTTTGGGAATCCAGCCTCGCCCACGGATATACTCAGAGATTGAAGGGCCCCCCAAATGGTCGGAACCCCTTCCTCCCCCTTATCCACAAGCCCCTGCCCCTCCTGAGCCTATTGCAGAGCCCTCAGCGCCGCCCAAGGAAATTCACGGACCTGCTTCGGGGACACAAGTCAAAAAGCAGCTTCCCCTGGGGCACCAGATTCCACAGTAGCCCTCCCCCTGAGAGCTTATGGGCCACCTCCCCCTGAGGGCCCTAATGGTCAACCTGAGCCACTGCAGCCGCTTCAGTATTGGCCATTCTCTTCCTCTGATCTGTATAACTGGAAGACTAATCACCCTTCCTTTTCTGAGGACCCACAGAGACTAACGGGTCTTGTGGAGTCCCTTATGTTTTCTCATCAGCCCACCTGGGATGATTGCCAACAGCTGTTACAGACGCTGTTTACCACTGAGGAACGAGAACGCATTCTTTTAGAGAGCAGAAAGAATGTTCCTGGGGCTGATGGGAGACCCACCCTGATGCCCAACCTCATCGATGATGCTTTCCCCTTGAGCCGGACTGGGATTACAACACCACCGAAGGTAGGGAGCAACTGAAAGTCTATCCAGACTCTAGTGGCGGGTCTCAAGGGAGCGGCGAGATGCCCGACCAATTTGGCCAAGGTAAGAGAGATTACTCAAGGGGAGATGGAACCGCCTTCAGTATTCCTGGAGAGATTAATGGTTGCTTTCCGGCGGTATACCCCCTTTGACCCAGAATTGGAGGGACAAAGAGCTTCAATAGCCATGGCATTCATAGGACAATCAGCTCTGGATATTAGAAAAAAACTTCAGCGAATTGAGGGATTACAAGATTATACTATACAAGATCTAGTAAAGGAAGCTGATAAGGTATATCATAAGAGAGAAACAGAGGAAGAGAAGGAACAACAGAAAGAGAAAGAGAGGGAAGAATGGGAAAATAAAAGGGACAAGAGACAGGAAAGAAATTTAACTAGGATCTTGGCTGCAGTCGTTAGGGAAGAAAATTATAAGAGTTGAGAAAATAAACCAAGGCAGACAGGGTACCTGGGCAACAGAAGACCACTAGGCAAAGACCAATGTGCATATTGCAAGGAACAAGGACATTGGGCTAAAGACTGCCCAAAGAAAAAGGGAGGACCTCCTAAGATGTTGGCCCTAGGAGGAGAAAACAACTAGGGGGGACGGGGCTCGGAGCCCCTCCCCAAGCCCAGGATAACCCTAACTGTGGAGGGGCAACCTGTGAAGTTCCTAGTTGACACTGGAGCACAACACTCTGTTTTATTGCATCCTTTGGGAGAGATAAAAAAAAGAAAAATCCTGGGTAATAGGAGCTACAGGGCGTCAACAATATTCATGGACCACTAAAAGAAGAGTAGACTTAGGAATAGGCCGAGTGACTCATTCCTTTCTGGGGATCCCTGAGTGCCCAGCCCCTTTGCTTGGGCGAGATCTGCTCACCAAGGTGGTGGCCCAAATCACTTTCTCCCCTGAGGGCCCCAAATTAGAAGCTAAGGGGCCAGTTACCCTTCTAACGCTACAGCTGGAGGACGAATATCGAATATCGGCTCTATGAGGTGCCACCTTCACCTGAGACTAACATAGAGCATTGGCTATCAAAATTCCCCCGGGCATGGGCTGAAACTGGAGGGATGGGACTAGCCCTCCAGGCTCCACCGATTCTGATAGAGTTAAAGGCAAACTCTGAACCCATCGCAGTCCGGCAATATCCTATGAGTCTTGAGGCCCAATGGGGGATCCGGCCCCACATCCAGCACTTCTTAGAATTAAGAATTTTGGTGCCCTGTCGTTAGGCATGGAATACCCCTCTCCTATCAGTCCGGAAGCCAGGCACAAAAGACTTTCGCCCTGTACAAGATCTTAGGGAAGTTAATAAGCGAGTGCAAGATATTCACCCCACAGTGCCTAACCCTTATAACTTATTAAGTTCTCTCCCCCCTGACCGAATCTGGTACACTGTTTTAGACCTTAAAGATGCTTTCTTCTGCTTAAGATTACATCCTGCCAGTCAACCTGTTTTCGCTTTCGAGTGGAGGGACCCAGAGAATGGTCAAACGGGACAATTGACCTGGACGCGGTTACCCCAAGGATTCAAAAATTCGCCTACCCTATTTGATGAGGCCTTGCACCAAGATCTTGCACCTTTCCGCGCTGACAACCCCCAGGTAACTCTCCTCCAATACGTGGATGATCTGCTCCTGGCTGGAGCCACAGAAGAAGACTGTCTATCGGGAACTGAAAACTTGCTGACTGAATTGGCGCGTCTAGGATACCGAGCCTCAGCAAAGAAAGCACAGCTCTGTAAAAGAGAGGTAACCTACCTGGGATATAATTTAAGAAATGGACAACGCAGGCTGACAGAGGCCAGAAAGAGAACTGTGACCCAGATTCCCGTCCCAAAAACTCCGCGGGAAGTCAGAGAATTTTGGGGGACTGCGGGGTTCTGTGGGTTATGGATTCCTGGTTTCGCCAATTTAGCAGCCCCCCTTTACCCTCTGACTAAGGAAGGCGCCCCCTTTACTTGGCGACCCCAAAAACAAGAATCCTTTGACAACATCAAGCAGGCCTTGTTGTCTGCTCCAGCTCTCAGTCTACCTGATCTAACTAAGCCCTTTACCCTGTTTGTTGATGAGAAAAGGGGAATTGCAAAAGGAGTGTTAACCCAAACTTTGGGACCTTGGAAAAGGCCAGTGGCCTACCTGTCAAAGAAACTGGACCCAGTAGCACAGGGGTGGCCTGTCTGCTTAAAATCAATAGCTGCCATTGCCACCTTGGTGAAAGATGCTGATAAACTAACTATGGGACAACAATTGACTGTCATAGCTCCCCATGCCTTAGAGAGCATTATCCGACAGCCTCCAGACAGATGGCTGTCCAATGCCCGGATGGTTCATTATCAGACTCTGTTGCTGAATGAAAGAATCCAGTTTGCTCCTCCAGCTATTCTCAATCCCGCTACCCTGCTGCCTGATGTCACCGAGGAACAGGTGATACATCAATGCCACGAGATCTTGGCTGAAGAGGCTGGGTCCAGGAAAGACTTGACTGACCAACCCTGGCCTGGAGCTCTCACATGGTTCACTGATGGAAGCAGCTACATCGTGGAAGGTAAGCTGGTAGCGGGAGCGGCAGTGGTAGATGGCACTTCAGTGATCTGGGCCAGTAGTCTACCTGAAGGGACTTCAGCCCAAAGGGCAGAACTAATCGCCCTTACCCAGGCCCTCCGATTGTCAGAAAAGAAAGATATCAACATCTATACTGACAACCGATATGCATTTGCCACGGCGCATATACATGGAGCCATATATAAACAAAGGGGACTCTTAACTTCGGCTGGAAAAGAAATAAAAAATAAAAAGGAAATACTGGACCTCTTAGAAGCCATACATTTGCCAAGAAAAGTGGCAATTATCCATTGCCCGGGGCACCAAAGAGAAACCAATCCTGTTGCCGTCGGAAACCAACAGGCAGATAGAGAGGCAAAAAGAGCCGCTCAAGGCATTAATATCCTCCCTCTACAGGAAGACCTAGGGACTGCCACTACCAAGTTTGCCTATTCTGAGAAAGACTTACAGAGGATAAATGACTTAGGACTCTCAGAACCTCAGCCAGACAGGACTTATGTCCTGCCCAATGGAAAGACCGTCCTACCAAGGGAAGAGGCCAAAACTTATCTTCAGCAACTACATGGGCTCACTCATTTAGGGGCCAAACATCTAAAGAAGATAGTTCAGACTTCCCCATATTATATTTATAATCTATCTGAGCTAGTTGATGAAACCATCCATCAATGTATGCCCTGCCAGCTGGTAAATGCCTATCCTTCTAGGCATCCCCTGGGAAAAAGGTTGCGAGGGGACAGGCCTGGCAGCTATTGGGAAGTTGACTTCACTGAAATAGAGCTTGCTAAATATAATAATAAATACCTTCTAGTTTTCATAGATACTTTTTCAGGATGGGTAGAGGCCTACCCCACGAAAACAGAAACTGCTACTATTGTGACGAAGAAGATACTCGAAGAGATCTTCCCAAGGTTTGGCATCCCTAAGGTAATTGGTTCAGACAATGGACCAGCATTTGTTGCCCAGGTAAGTCAGGGACTAGCCAAGGTCCTGGGGTTTAATTGGAAATTGCACTGTGCTTATAGACCCCAAAGTTCAGGTCAACTAGAGAGGATGAATAGATCATTAAAAGAGACCTTGACCAAATTGTCCTTAGAGACTGGCATTATAGACTGGACGGTCCTCCTACCCCTTGCTTTGTTCCGAGTAAGAAATACTCCGGGAAAATCTGGTCTAACCCCGTTTGAATTGCTTTATGGAGCCCTTCCTCCTTTAATAGGGGTTGGTAACTTGGCAGATCCAAATGTTATCTCTTCTAAACCTCTTTATGTTAGATTAAAAGCCCTTGAAACTGTCCAACGCGAAGTGTGGCAACACCTGAGAGAAGCTTATGCTCCAGGAGACCTCCAAGTTCCTCATCAATTTCAAGTCAGGGACTCCGTCTACCTCCGCCATCATCAGACAGGCAACCTAGAGCCTCGTTGGAAGGGACCTTTCCCGGTATTGCTGTTGGTTGTGTCTGGCCTCTGGCCCCCCATATTATGAAGGAATAGCTTTCACCGGTGGTTATAACAACACCACCTCCCATGACTTATGTAATTGGAACACAAAAAGGAAATTAACTCTAACTGAGGTATCAGGGAGAGGAACTTGTTTGGGGACGGTACCCCCAGATCACCAGCAGTTGTGCAACCGGACCCTCCAAAGTGTCCCCTCCTCTGACACTCGTTATCTGGTACCTGACATGGGGGGATGGTGGGCCTACAATACTGGCCTCACCCCATGTCTGACTACTTCAATGTTTAATGGTTCTAAAGACTTCTGCATACTTGTTCAGGTCATACCCCGGGTTATTTATCATGACTCAGGCCCCTTTGAAGAAAACTTTAATTTAAAAATTACAAGGTATAAGAGGGAACCGATAACCTTAACTTTGGCAGCTCTTTTAGGATTAGGTATAGCCACTGGCATCGGTACTGGGACAGCTGCCTTGGTCCAAGGGTCTCACTATCTAAATAAATTAAGAACGACTATAGATGAGGACCTCAGAGCCATAGAAAATTCTATTACTAAGTTGGAAGAGTCACTAACATCTCTATCGGAAGTAGTCCTGCAAAATCGTAGAGGATTAGATTTGCTCTTCTTAAAGGATGGAGGACTCTGTGCTGTATTAAGAGAAGAATGCTGTTTCTATGCTGACCATTCAGGAGTCATGAAAGACTCCATGGCCAAACTCAGGGAAAGATTAGATAGAAGGCAAAGAGATCACGAATCGCAACAAGGTTGGTTTGAAAATTGATTTAATAAATTCCCTTGGATCACCACGTTGGTGTCTACCTTATTGGGACCCCTTATCATCCTTTTATTACTTTTAACTGTTGGGCCCTGCGTTCTGAATAGATTGGTTGCCTTCATCAGAGAAAGAATCAGTGCAGTGCAGGTATTAATGGTGAGACAACAATACCAGCCTCTAAGAACCCAAGCCTTAGGTATGGGACATGAAGAAACTAGACATTAAGGGTTCTAAGATTAGAACATGTGCAGAAAGAAAAAGGGAGGATTGTTAGAAAAGTTTTCAAGAAGCTCCAGTAGCCCAACCCCTAGCACAGTCAGCTAACTATGACAGGCCAGAAGGTCACGTTAAACATTTCTGAACAGGAACCAAGATAAACATCTGGTACGGGAACAACCGGACCTAGCCCTAAACATTCCCGTAAATGATCCCCCACCGAAGTCCCCCCTCCCCTTTCTCGGAATTCCCCCTCCCCTATAGCTTGTGGTTTTTTTCTTTAAAAACTGTGTATCTACCCTGCTTCGGGGCTCAACTCCTCTGCCCCTGCGAGGGTTATGAGCTGAGCCCCAGC